TTACCGAATCATGTAGTACCAGTATACTATATAGTCCGATTAAATCTTTCCACAATTGAGAAAGGTTTCTTTCATGGCTTATGCGCTGTTGACATCAATATCCATAAACCAACCTACAGCATAAGTCTCCATGCATTACAACCTCAAATAAAACCACATGACTTTGCTCTGTATAAAGTAAATGCAACATCGCCTGAGAAAGTGATATTTCATGAATTTAAACATGATACCATGACAGTCTATTACGATAAGGAGTTGTCACCTGGAGAGTACGTCTGGAACATAACGTTCACTACCAGTTTATTCAGTGACGACAAAGATCTGTTTGAAACTTCTATCACAAATGGAAAAGAAAGTGGACTGTGAGTAAATGTTAATATTCTAATGGAGAAGTTTATACACAGAACATAACCAATTGACAAAATATTCGAGTTATTATAATTCTACGTAAATATAAAGAGGACCCCGCATATTTCTTATGGAAAATCGATTTAGGCTTAACTTTTGCAATTTTGTACCTTCTAGTGATGCTGATCAAAAGTCACCATTCCCACAAATCACATCTGTGAGCCCGTTTTTGTTCTAAAAGGACTTTGCCTCACATGTAGCACAAAATGATTAAGTTTTATCCAATTTCGCTTAAACCGATTTTTCATAAGAAAAGTGCTAGGTTCTTTATGGAAATTATTATTCTTTTATATTTGACGCCTAATATTTCATTCTTCGAAAATAGTTTAAAAATTACATTTGGCAAATGTAATGAAATAAATATTGTGTTTGGTCTCAAATATTTTAATAAACGTTGACCTTTCTTTATTTAAATAAACTTAAATAATAATATCAACCTGTTAATACTATGATCAAAGAAACATAGCACCCTTTAAGTAGCTATTGTATTGTATTTTGTTTTTTGTCGACTGGATGCATATTTAGTTAATGCACGTTCAATTTATCTCTCATAGGTATGAAAATTGTAAGCAAATCGATATAAAAATGTATGATTAATATAAATTTATAAATGGGTTAAATTGTGATATTTTCATATACTTTATGTGTTAAGAAAAATACATATTTTACCATTCAAGATATTTGCATTTTATTTTGTTAACTTAGATCAGTGTATAACGTCTTTAGCAAGCTCTAGTACGAAACATTGCATTTAACCAAATTCGCTGTAGAACAGTTATGTGAACGTTTTGATATTATAAAATAATATTTTAAAAGCATTCACTTTATCACATGTTAGAGCTAATAATTTCATCTACCATATAGTTATTAGTACTATTACACAATTGTGATAAAAATATAATGCAATATAGACACAATATTATACTAGTACACGTTGAGACATGTTTACAGGGTGAGCCATTTTATTCCGTACACGGTAATATTTCCCCAGGTAGGGGTGATAGCGGACAATGTCTCAGACAAAAGTTGTTGGGTTTCGAGGAGGACATAAGATGGTGTCATTAACTTATCCTTGAATAGTTGCTTGAGGATCTTGTGAACGTCACCTTCAATTTTTTAAACGGAACTTCCTCTTGTTTATTATACTATCTTAGTCTACTAATTAATATGAACAACTTTTGTTTGAAACATTTTTTTATTTACCTAAAGTCCTGTGATACTTTTCCCTCCGACAAACAGTTATCGAGATATCATAAACTAATTGTAAACGTCGAAAAGTTACAAATTTTTTCCTGAACATCTCAAAAAGTATTAGGCAAATAAAAAAATGTTTCAGACGAAAGTTGTTCATATTAATTAGTAGAATAAGATAGCATAATAAACAATAGGGAATTCCATTAAAAAAATTGAAGGTGGTCTTCACGTGACCTTCAAGCAACTATTCAGGGATATATTAATGACCGCATCTTATGTTCCCCTCGAAACTCAACAACTTTTGCCTGAGGCATTTTCCGCTATTATCCCTACCTGAGGAGATTTTATCGTGTACGGATAAAAATTACCCGCCCTATATGTATATGCTAAATTATTAAATCGACATTCATGAGCCTCACTATTATCTATCGTTAAATTATAACAGATTGCTTGGATCACCGAGCCAAAAGATTGGAGCACGAAGAATATTTCCATGTTGGGACCAACCGAATTTCAAGGCGAAATTTGAAATTCGCCTAAAACATCTTAATAAACACGTAGTTTCATCGAATATGGCTATAGAATGGGAATATGCGTCACCTAATGAAACGATAACGGAATTTGTCCTAACCCCACGAATTTCCCCCTTTTTCTTCACAATTATGATATGTAATATTTCCCGGATTCCTGCCGAAGATATCACTCTTCAACGCAGACAACAAGTAGCATCATATTTAAATTACGCAGAAATAATGATTAGAAATGTCATACTACATATAGAATCTCAATGGAACGGTTGCAGACTGACACGGTTTGAAAAAATGGATCATGTTGCCTTTCCGGATCTTCGTCAAGAGTTTATGAGGATTATGGGTTTTACTTTATATAGGTAATATAATAATTACAGATCTCGATACATATACAGAACAAAATAGTTTCCTTGTATTAAAGAATGTAATTTATATAAAGAAGATATAAAACTTCTTTTTAACGAAACGAATTATAAGATATTTGAGCTAGTGAATGAGGCTTTGGTATTACTCAATATTTAACTTATATTTCAAGTTTTTAAATTTTATTTTTAGAGAAACAGCTCTAATCTATGATGAAAAACTCGACAGTATTATGCACAAAATAAATATGGCACGATTGGTAGGATATGCATTCGCTCATCAATGCTTTAATAAACCGGAAAACTTTCAGCCATGGCCTCGTGTGTGGTTGACCGAAGGAATTCTTATATTACTTACAGTAGAAGAAATCAACAAAGTAAATTTCTTAATTATTTCCTACTGTTTTACTTACAGAAATGTTTATATCATTGTTTAACAATATATATATAGAGAACTCCACGTTTTGCACAAATTTTGGGACACTAGAGGTTATTTTTTAGTAGCAGTAATTATAACTGCAGTAACATTGTAGAAAGTAAGCTAAGATTTAAGTATTTACAAAAAGAAGTGTAATAGGCTTGGAGTTTTTATTGGAATACACAATGCAAATATTTTCTCGATTGCACAGCCTTTCATCAATCATATCAAAATATTTGTTTTCAGTTGTATCCAGATTTACAAATTATGGATCTGTTCGTAGTGCAGATTCAACAAGAATCTCTCCGACTGGATACTGATTCCATTATAGTGCCACTTGCTAAAAGTACTAGAATAAATCAAGGTTCTCCTTACCCCTATTATGTAAAAGGTAAAATTTTAAAAGTACACTTATAACGAAAGGAAAAAACGAAAATATAATTAAAAAATCATATTCTTACAACCTGAATTTTTAATTCATCTTTACGTGAGGAATTACCTTTTTACACGAATTTATAGACTTCTTTATAATAAATTCACTTGGACTATAATTCATTAAATTATTACGATTTGTATCATTGTAGCACCTGTTATACTACGTATATTGCAACATACGATAGGTCAAGAGCTTTTCTGGAAAATTATTAGGAGACTTCTTAATAACACGAAATATAACACGTAAGTAATGCAATAATTACTTTCTATAAGCATAAATTTAAATCGTTTGGAATTTGTGAAATCATACATAGAATAAAATATATGTATATTTACGTACTTACCTACTTTGCCTCGTTATTTTATTTTATTTCTTTCTTTATGTAAAAATCTTTATTATTTTACCATTGTGTTTTAGTGTTATTACGGTTATGGTTTTTCTTTTCTAGCTGGTTAATTCTTGATGATTTTTGGGAGACATTACCTGTATTAGGCTACATATATGACAGTTATCTTTCTGTACAAAACATGCTAACGTCGTGGATCAAATTACGTCATTATCCAGTGCTGAAGGTGCTTCAATACAATCGATCCCATGTAACCGTAATCATGGATAATACACTGGGTAATATGGTAGGAATACCTGTAACATATACTACGGAAACTTCTCCCAATTTTAATAACACGGGCGCTTATTATGAGATGTGGGCGTATAGAACACCGTCCCATATTAGAAAGAAATCTACTAACTTTTCTTTTCCTGTGACTTCACGTGATTGGATAATAGTCAACATTCAGCAAGCGGGTGAATATGATAATAAAATTTAATTTCTTAATTTTTGGAAATTTTCTTGTGCAAAGTTAATTAATAATTCTTGAGATACAATTAAAATCTACATTGCCACTTAGAATAATGATAGTAGAATAATATTTTTGTTATAACTAATTCATTATACGCTTTCCTAATTTAAATATATGAAAACATTGTTTCAATGAATGGTGAATTGTTTTTATTTAAAAAATACTAAAACCTGCATATATATTTCTCAACATATTGCATTACATGAAATTACTAACCTTTATTCACTGGTAGGATATTATCGTGTCAATTACGATGCTATACGTTGGAAACGAATTATTCGGTATTTAATGTCTCACAATTATACAAAAATACATGTGCTCAATCGTGCTCAAATCATCGATGACGCGTTTTATTTTCTGATGAATAATCAACTTCCTTTGTCCACTTTTTTGAAACTAACAAAATACCTACAACACGAGACAGAGTATGTAGCGTGGTATCCCATGCTCAAAGCTCTTGAACAGATGTCTGGTTTCTTTTTGTTCGAAGAAAGTAGGTTCCTAAAGGTAGATACATAATAAAAAGTATTTAATAAATGTTTACATTATATTTGTTTATGATGCATAAAGTGCAAATTTGTGCAAATAATGTATAAAAAATTTCTTTAAGAATTCAATTTATGTAGTAACAATAAAATGTACATACAAATGGCTAAAGAAATTTAATTATATTATATTTATAATCTTGCTATTAACGGAATAAGAAAATGGTTGTTAGTTTTATTTGGATGTAGCATTCCTATTTAGATATACGATTCTCACTTACACAATTTTTAATATTTATTTTTGCAACATATTTTATATAAACCTATACATATAGATGTTTTTACATATTTTAATTATGCATACAATATACGTATAATATAACATTTTGTCTGATTTTCGTTGTTAGTAGGCACCTGTGCAAATTAATTATTTCATGATTTTTAGATACACATACGGAACATTTTGCTGAGCCTTCTTGAAAGTATTAACGCCTTTACAGTGAAAATGTATGAAAAACCTAACAATCTTAGTTCATGTTTAATACAAGAAGCAGCGAAATGGGCATGTGTTCTCGGTCACTCCAAATGCCAAAGGACTGCTACTTCTATATTGTCGCAGCATTTAAATAGTAGTACAAGGTGCACCAATTGAATAATTTAATCACATTGAAAGTTATATGTATAATTGTGCTGATACATAATATTTGATATAATAAATTCGATGAAACTACGAGACTATAAAAAACAGAAGCTTCTATAATACATTTCAATGTTTTTTTCTCAATATTGTGCAGAGTTTCGCCAATTTGGAAGAAATGGACATATTGTAACGGTATACTATTTAATAGTAGCGATATTTGGTGGAATGTATTTACTTTATGGATAAAGACAAGAGACAGTCAACTTTTAGACTATCTATCTTGCACTAGAAATTCTTCTATCGTCCACGATTACTTACAATTAAATATGCTAATTCGAAAAGGGAATATACTTGGTTATGTGGATTATACAAGTGGTTTCAAAAAAGTGCAACGCATTGACCATGTGAACAGTTTTCTTTTCACTATTGTTAGGCATGCAAAGGATGACATAGTATTAGAATACATGTTAAAAAATTTTACAATAATAATTCCGAGGTAACATTAGTGTATTGTCATCATATGACATATTGTATTTAATATAAGTATTGTAAATGTTTACATCTACTAATTAAAAACTTGTCTTGATTTAATAGCGACATCACTTGGTATGCAGCATTAATTAGTATTGTTAGCCATGTACAGTCCGATAAACAACTCGATAAGGTAAATATTTATCATGAATGTAAATATGACATCAATTTTTTGAACTTTATTTTAAAACTTATTTGATAGCTGATTTATTATTTATCACCTCGACTAGTAATTATGCTGAAAATCTAAATTGATTCTGCATTATACCTGTATGTTTTAAAATAATAAAGACGGTCATTCTTAAATAATTAAACTAATTCATTTCTAGATAGTTGAATTCGTGATAGATTATAAGACACGTATAAGAACACCTACTAACTTAAAATTTAAGTTCAATGATCAACATAAACTAACTAGAGAGGTAATGTTTGTGCACTCAAAACTTTATATCTATTTTCTCGTTTTTATAGATTTTCTATTTTTATGTAAATAGCATGTAACTTTATTTACTCTAATTAACAAAATTGTATTTTGTTAGACTCTAATAGTGACAATAATTTATTGTTTTCAGTTTTATGTTTTCCAATAAACATCGATATAATTTGTTTTAGGTATATGAAGTTCTTAACAAATTTCCAAATTTTATGATTTATTTGCCAATATTGATTGTTAAACAAGCAATAGATATACGCTTGTTCGAAATCGAAAATCAGCTGAATTATTTTCGATGCTTTGTGCGGAAGTAATAAATTGCATTGTAATGCACATGTCTACATTCAATATACATATATGTATAATATTTCATAAGATTACTACTTGTGTTGCAAAATTTATATTTAGTATAAGAATCATTTATAAATCTTATTTCGAAAGTTTTTGAAAATATGTTGTACGCAATTTAATAAAGAGTATACACAAAATTTTATACGCAAATGTCGTCATGTTGATTTTGAAATTACAATAAATGTAAAATGCACGTCCCTGAGTTTAAGAAAAACTTCGTACAAATAAATTTAAGAAAACCTTGGTACAAATCAAATTTGATAGAGATGTAATTTATAAATTTTGATATTAATTTGGAACTCCTTTATATACCTTGCACAATACTTATTTTAATAAATGTACTTATAACTTTAATTTCACTTCTTTTTCAAGGTATTATATTTAATATTTTTTCGCCTTTTAGTTTACAATAATTTTGTATAAAACCACTACAAAATATACTTGACGTTTTTAAATATACACTACTCAAAAAAAAATAGGGAACACTTTTCATACCCTAAAAATTGGGCTATTTTCAAACCACTGAAACTCGGCGAAAAATAATCGTAGACACAAAATTAAAAAAGCATTTTAAACCTTGAAGTTTCAACTTTAAAACTCTGTCAATGATATATTTCGATATATTCATCTTCCTCGTTCTGTGCTTTAAAAAAGAATACATGTTTTGTTCCTTAAAATTACGTATTTTTGACACACTGTAGCTCGATAAAAAAATTTCTCTCGACAAATTTGATACAAGTTCCACAATCTACAACATTTTACCTACAAAATGCTTTTTTTAAAATTTTCCTACGATTTTTCTTGACCGAGTTACATGACTTTGAAGCGAACCATGCATTTTCTTGAAAAATGATGTTTACCGCCGGCATTAGCGTTACCCAATGTGCACCACGTGGATGTTGGCGATCGGATTGTGCACATCGCGCGCGCGCGCGCGTGTGTGTGTATCTGTGTGTGTGTGTAAGCGTGTGTGTGTGTGTGTGTGTGTGTGTGTGTGTGTGTGTGTGTGTGTGTGTGTGTGTGTGTGTGTGTGTGTGTGTGTGTGTGTGTGTGTGT